GGCATGCACCCCAGGCCCGGCTCAGTGCCTGGGCTCAGCACCCAGAGGGTGCCACCTCAGGTGCCCAGGGGTTTCTCGAGTCCTCGCCACCCCAGGAAGGACCCTGGGCTAGGCCATCGCTCTCAAGGGCCCAGTCCCCAGCAGGGCACACCAGGAGCCCCCTCCCTGCCTGCATCCTGCAGCTTCCCCTTCCTTCAGCAGCTCCCCGTGCCCCGGCCCTGCAGGTCCCCTCCGGGAAGCGGCACCTGAGGAGGGGACACTGAGCACCCACAGCCTTATTAGCCTTCCCTATTTAGCCTCCAAGTGGCTTCAAAATTAATAGGCAGCCCAGAGGGTCCTAGCATCACAGGGCCCTTGCGGGAGCTCGGGCTCAGCGTGGACATGCCGGGTAGCGCGGGGGAGCGTTGCTCCAGGACGGAAACTGCCCATCCTGCTTGTGCACTGCTCCACGGCCATCCCCCGTGTCCAGCTGGGGCTCCCCAACGCCTTTCTGCTCCACCAGCCTCTCTCCAGGGCAGACCTGGCTCTCGCCCGGGGACAGAGATGGGGAACATAGCCACATTGCTCCAGGGCTTTCTCCAACACTTTATTAGAAGAGGTCCAGGAAAATACATCTTTTCCTAACAAAACACTTGAAGAACCAGGCACCAGTGTTCAAGTGGCGTCCAGGAAAGGGACGCATGGCGAGTAAGGCACTGGGTGCTGCCGCCAAGACCAGCATAGCGGCACCCTTCAGCGGGACCAGGGCAGCCAGCAGGGCTGGGACAAAGCGGACGCATCTGCTCCCACGAGTCCTAGCCTGTATCCAAATCCATACATGCCTTGCTGTGCCCTGTGAGCTCCCACCAGGGCTCCCAGGAGGCTGCTGGGGACCAGCAATGGGGCTGGACCCCTGCCAAGGGCCTGCGGGACAGGTACAAGTGGGTCTCAGTCAGGTGGGCTGCCACAGTGGGGACGAGGCCACCAGCCCACATGGATGGAGGTGGCCACGGTGAGTGGAAACAGCCCACCTACCGCCATGCCAGCACGGGCAAGGGGGCCATCGTCCTCACGCCCAGCCCACGCTGGGGCTATCTGCTGGGGCCAGGTACCTGCACTGCTGGGTGCCACCCACTCTCACCCAGCCCGGCCGGCCCCGGCGGACAGGCTGGCCCACCTCCCCCAGCCAGGATAGCGCTGGGCTGCTGAGCAAGAGGCCTCAGCCTGGGGCCCTGCTGCATTTGAGAAGTGTAAAAATGTAAAGCAAGAAAACAAAAATAAAACAAAAAAAAAAATCCCCCCCCCAACACACCCCCTCCCCAGAAACTGCCCCAGGAAACACCCAACGCCGGGCACCGTCAGGCTGAAACATCCTCCGGCCAAGCGGGTGCTAGGCAGCTCCTTATCTCTCCTTGTAGCAGAAGACCCCAAACTGGCCGGTGCTGGGGAAGCCAAAGCTGCGGACGCCAGGCTCCGCGGGGCCCCAGTTGGCCCTGGGCTTGGAGATGGGGTAGCGGATGCTGCCGTCTGCCAGCCAGCCAGCATCGCAGCGGTCCAGCCCCAGGAATTTCCAGGCAGCGTAGAGCTGTCCCACGCGGGCAATCTCGGCACCAGCATCCTGGCAGGCCTGCTTGGCTTCCTCCAAGGTCATCCCAGCTGGGTGATCCAAGTAGTAAACCTCCCCTAGGAAGGAGAGGGCAGCCTCAGGCACAGAACCCCCAGCACGGGACATCGCCCGGAGCATCCCTGCCTGGGCGAGATGAGCCCCTAAGGGGCAGCAGAGGATGGGGAAGGGGCCAGCTGGCCCTGGACCCACCTCTAAGCGCGGAGGAGAAGCAGAAGACGTCAAAACGGTGCAGATGCCGGTGACGCTGGCCATAGCTGCGGATACCGGGGGCGAGGGGCACCCCGCCACAGGCGGGGCAGCCGGATGGGGTACTGCACTGTGCCATCGGCCAGCCAGCCTGCGTTACACCAGTCCAGCCCCTCGCTCCAGGCCTGCAAGAGCTGGCTGAAGGTGGCCACGACAGCACCCTGCTCCTCGCAGGCCCGCTCAGCCTCATGGAAATTGAGCCGGTATTGGCCGCGGGGAGGCTGGTAGGGGAAGACAACGCCTGGGAAGAAAGCAAGCGGATGGCTGAGCCAGCACAGAGGGAAACCCACCCCCACCCTTGCCCACAACCAGGACCTGCCAGGGCACCAGCAGGAGCCGCAAGAGTCCGCGACCCATCCCAAATTCCTGCTCCTGGGACAGGAGACGAGCCCAAGTGCAACCTGGGGCTCAGTGCTCCCTCAGCAGGAGGGAGCAGCCTCCAAACTCCTGCATCAGGGCAGCTCCTGGTGCTGGAGGAGCTGCTGGGGCAGAGCGTCCGCCAACGGCGAGTTGCCAGCGACATCTGGTGGCACAGGGACACATGGTCCTGGGGAGATATGGACTGCCACCACCAATCAGGAAGCAGGCACCAGTGTCAAGGGGACACAGACTATGGTCCCCGACACACGTGGACCCCCATCACGGGGACACAGGAGAATGCACAGACTACAGCAATAGGGATGGTAGCAGCATTCCTGGGGACATGTGGACCACGGGAACGTACTGACCACGGTCTCAGGGACATGGAGACAATGGTCCTGGGGACACATGGACCACCATCACGGGAATGCAAGGACCATCATCATGGGGATGTCCAGACTGCGCTAAGAGGGCCACAAGGACCACCACCATGGGCACATGTGGACCGTGGCCACAGGGACTAGCAGGGACAAGCCACAGTGGGATGCAGGGCCCCCAAGGTGGGCACGGGCACCAGGATGGGGATGTTCTAAGCTCAGAGTTTGGTGGCAGAGCCGGGGTCTGGGCGGGGACCTCCCAGCTGGCAGCAATGGGTCAGGCAGTGCCTAATACTGCAGCTCAGCAGCTCCAGCATGCCACAAGGTGCCCAGAGAAACCCAGGCTGGGAGGCAAGAGTTGGATTTTGGACCGCCCACCAAGGGATAGAGGAGAGGAGCCAGCAGCAGGGAAACAGCCCTGCAAGAAGGAGGACCCAGCCCTGCTCACCCCAGGTGCATTCCCCCAATGGGTCACTGCACTAGGAAGGCCAGGATTGCCACTCTGGTAGAGTGGTGATGTAGTCCCCACCATGTCCCACCTTGCAGCCGGAGGTCCACCACGTCACTCTCATCCTCTAGCCCATCGATCACCTCACAGCGGTATTTGCCATCATCCTGCAGGCGCAGGTCACTGACCACTAGCGAGGCCTCCCGCCGGCCAGCCTGCTGCAGCCAAGCACGGCCCTGGAAGTCCCCGAAGGCGACGTAGGTCTTGCCAATGGCCACTAGCACATCCTGCTCCTTGGTGTAGTCATCCCGCAGCTTGGACCACTTGATACGGATCTTGCGCTTGGCCTCCAGGTCAGGCTCGTAGCGGTAGTGACAGGGTAGGGTGACATTCGCACCGTTGGAGCTGTAGACAGGATCTTTGGGGGTCTCCACCACTAGCTTGGCCCCATTGAAGTAAACTGCTGGGGACAGGGAGGGAAGGGTCGCGATAGGCAGGCTGAGAGCCCCAATGCCAGCAGTGTCCCCCCCTTCACCTCTCCCAGCCCCACTTCACCTCCCCCCCCCAAGACGAGCCCTGACCCAGGGACAGGTGGGGGTTCAGCCATGTCCCCCATACCTCACCCACCCCTGCCGATCCCCACTATACTTTTTCCACGGCCATCGCCCTTGTCGTTCATGACATGGTTGTAGTAGAAGAC